TGATTGAGAGTCCAAGCTCCAGGAAAAACAAAAACCAAAAAATGTACTGTAGAACTTTTTTCTGGGAGGAGCCCCAGACTCTCCTAAAGACTTCCCACCTACCCAAAGCCTTAGGCAGACCCTAGGACTCCTTCTTCCCCCTCACCCCACATTCCACCAGCCCCAAAGGCCTGGACATTCCAGCTCCTGAGAGGTTCTGGATGGCTTCCCAGAGGGATGCTTTCCTCTAACTGCCCCTCCCACCCCTGCCCCCACTGGCTTGGCAACTGCCTTCCCACAGCATGGGTAGCTCCTGAGTTCCTACTCCAGAGGAGGAAAGGAGCTCAGACAAGGCCCTGCCACACCCTGGTTTACATGCCAGGGCTGACCCACAGCCTCTTATCCCTTCAAGTCCCACCACCCAGGGTCAAACGCCCCGAGAAACTGGGCTCATTGAGACGTAGCAATGCCTCGTTAATCCTGACAGGGGATCCATTTCCTATTAATCAAGCCAATGAACAGTTCCAGGAAAGCTAGTGCCTTGGGAAGGAGCCCTTCAGACTACCTGCTCGGTGCCCAGGAGGTCAGGCCCCCTGTGGAGCCCTGGCAGAAAAGCACCCACTCTGCACCAGGTACTTTATCTTACTTCCTCTTTTACAATCAGTGCCTCTACTTCATAGGCTGAGAGACCAAGTCATGTGGTCTCAGTCACACAGCCAGTAAATACTAACCAAGACACCCGACACAGTTCACAGACTACTGGGGGGCCTTGTCAAGAGTGGTGGCAGAGCCTGTCACTGTTGGCTGTACTTGTCTGACAGGACTCTCCCTCTCCACTACTGTCACTTCTCAGCTCCCACCCTACGGTAGCTCCCAGCCCATCTGCACTGCCACCACCTTAGAGCACCATTTTCCCTCCAGGGGACAACTTGCTGACTGAACAAGCTGATGTCCCTGCCTGTGCCACCCCACCCCACCTCCTCTTTTCTCTATTCAGAAGCCAGAGAACAGCCTCCTCCTGATCAAACCCCCTCAAAGGCCTCCCACTGCTCTTTCCCCCCAAAAAAAGCCAAAGCAAACTCCTATCACAGTAGACAAAGCCCTGCCAGGTCTGACCTAACCATGCTCCTGGCTTTAGAGCCCAGAATAAGCAATGCTCCCTGCAGCCTCAGGGCCTTTGCATAAGCTGCATCTTCTCCTAAGAACCTCTTAGACTAGCCCTTTACACACTAAACTCTTGCTTAAGTCACCTTTAAACATCATCTCCTCAGACACCCAACCCATGCCCCTACCCACCTGCCCCATTAGCTTAGTCCATGGTTCTAAGCTCTCTGCCTCCCAGTGTGCTCAGTTTCAGCATGCACACGAGGCTACAACTTTCCACCTCTTTGGTGTTTATTAGCTGTTTCCCAAACAGACCCTAACCCTGGACAGGGCAGATCCCACGTCTGTCCTGTCTCCTGCGCTGTCCCACTGTCTGATGCAGTTCCTGACACCCAGGGGTGCAAAACGGAGAAAAAAAAATGGACAGAGGAAGGAATACGGGGTGGGGGGTGGGGTAGAGACTGGGGCCTCCCGCATACACTTTCCCTCCAGGCAAGAGAGAAACCCAGGGAAGAAGTGCCCCTCCAGGTCCTGCCTCAACGTGTCTACAGTGAAACCAGGCGAGAACCTGAAGAACCAGAAAGACTAGGAGTGTGCTGGGGTGGGGTGGGGAGGGGAGGGGCCTCCTGAGCCAAACAAAGAGCAGAGAGGCTGGGCAGGTGAGCCAGATAGATCATGAGCAGCCAGGAGGAACAGGCCTGGAAGCTGTGTGGAGCTGGACTGTGCCCAAGGCCTGGGGCCATCAGGGAGGTGGAACTACTCCTCTCCCTAGGGAGGCTGGACAAGCACCAGGGTGCTGCCCAGGATCAGACAGGCAGTGCTGCTCCAATCCCATGCTACCCAGGGTTGGGGCCCTCCTCTATGGCCAGGCCTTACTTTGTTTCATATCAAGGGGACCCTGACAGAGTTCTAGAGACACTTGCCCCCTATTCTAGAGTCCTAGGTAGTCCCAGGACTTCTTGTTCCTCAGGAGATGTTCTGGGAGCACAGTCAAACCTTGTCTCTACACTGTCTCCCCAAATTTGCTCCTACTGGCCTCTCTAAATTCAGCCTTTTCTTTTATTATTTTTTAAAATTTTTTTATTTTTTGGTTTTTTTGAGACAGGGTTTCTCTGTAACCTTAGGGCCTGTCCTAGAACTAGCTCTTGTAGACCAGGCTGGCCTCGAACTCAGAGATCCACCTGCCTCTGCCTCCCAAGTGCTGGGATTAAAGGCGTGCGCCACCACTGCTCGGTAAACTTTTTCCTTTTTTTTAACAAGTATCTTGTATTCACTTGCCAGGTCAGGCACTACACTGAGACTTCAGCTTGGGCCCTGGTGCGCTTACCCACCATCCAGGCCGGCCTCTGAGTGCGCTGTGCACTCCTCATCAGCCCTCTTCCAGAGAGTGGAAGCCTGGCCTACCTCACACTGTCAGCTGGGGTGCCAGGCAGGCAAAACCTGTGACCACTCTGCCCTGGGCCTGATCAACTGGTGTTGAGTTTAAACAGAACATTTCTTTTGTTCTGAAAAAAAAAAAAATTGCAAATTTTATTTGTGCGTGCGTGCGTGCGTGTGTGTGAATGCGTATGCACGTGCTCCATCACACGGACTCCAGAGACTCAAATGAACTCTGGCCCGGTGCTGAGGGCCTTTACTCGCTGAGCCATTGTGCTGGTCTGTGATGAGAACTTGTGAGTCCAGAAAGCAGGGTACCTCTGAACATGCCAGGGCGAGCTTTGTGTCACAGTCACGTCCTGTGTCGCCCAGCCCTGTGGGCAGTTACTCACAGTGGGATATCCTGGGACAGTCTTTACATGTCAACACCTGACCCTGTAGATGAGAAAGTGACCAAAGGAAGAGACTGGCCTGGACGAGGGGAGCACGCCCCCTTGAGAGGCTGCAGGCATGCAACTCCAGGGACAGCTAAACTGGGCCACCTCCAAGGCTCCTCCACAGGGAGACTGATTGCTATTTTGTGCCTCCCCTGAGGGGCGCATGTACACAGGCTCATAAACAGCACTGCACACGAAAGGAAGGAGAAGCACACACAGCAGCGAAGGGCCACGAGGAGAGGTGGTTTCCCAGGCCCTGAGTGGCCAGTGAGCTGGGGACCCATTAATTAGCTCCTGTGACTGCTCCTGGCAACCTTCCCCGGCCCAGTCCACTCAAGGGCAATCCTACTTCCAGGAGGCACTCAACAGGGGGAGCACTTAATAGGTGCCAGGTGCCTGGCCCACGTGACCTCAGTTAACCTTTACAGGTAGGAGTGATTACTCCTGTTGTGCAATAGGAAAACAGGCTTAGAGAAAGCACTTGTGCCAGAAGCTCCAGAGGGCGGGGTCTAGACAGGCCACCCATAAGCACAAGGAGGAGGGCCCTGCCGTGTACCAACGTCAGGGGCTCTGAAGGAGGGGAAACGCGTAGTCTTCAGGCTCTGGCTCACCTGTACCTGCATCCGCTGCACACCACCCATCTCTTGAGCTACCAGGTGCCTGTGAACTCCAGTGGCTTGCAAATAACGTGGCCATGACCAGGACCCCACTTGCACCTGATCTGGGGTCCTGCGGCTGTCCCGTGCTATCTATCTGAAGGTCTCACTCTGGCTTTCTCCTACGCTCAGAAGCCCAGGGACTCTTTCCCCCTGCCAGTCTCACTTCTCCGTTGGGCAATACTCTATGTTAGCAAATGCCCACTCCACGGAAGGAGCTCTCTATTCCAGGAACCCTTCCGAGATATTCAGGCCACTGCCTGTGCCTGTGCTGCCCAACCCGCTCCTGCTCTTCTGTCAAGCTCTCAGACCTGCGCCCAGCTCGGTGGGTTCTGCCCTGTGACAGGTCTGAGTGGATCCTTTCTATCCAAGCACCTAACACACATGAGACCAGCAGAAACCTCTGCCTGAGGGCTGGACCAAGACCACCTCTATCCCTATATCCACATCCTCCCCCCATCAAGAAGACACAAAACCCTAGGGAGACACTGGATGAGGTTTCAGAAGTGAGCATCCATGTAAACAAGCATGCCTTAGTACCCAGATTTCCACTGGAGCTGACCAGGCAATGACGCTAGGCCTCCAGGCTAACTCTTGGCAGCTGCTTCTCTACCCTGCTTCTCTCCACTCCCCTCTGAGGCCAGGGCCCCCATTCATTTGTCTCGTTAAGAGGCCTATAGAAACACATTTGTCCGCTCTGCGCTTCACTGCTCTGGTCGTCAATTCTCTGGGGGCAGCCGCCCTGCCTTCTGCAGCAGCCCTGTCCGTGTCTGGCTGCTTGGCCCTAGTGAGAAGTTTTGAAAGTTCAATCCAGGCCTGGCCATGGTGGGGAGAGATTCAAAAGTGGGTGTCACTTAACGGCAGGCTGGGAGAGCAGACTCTGACCCGAGGCTGACTCACCACGGCTCCTAGCTGATGTCTGGCCCACGGCCCTTGGCCTGGCACAGTACCTGGAGGTCCACCCTTGGCAGAGGCTTCTTCACCTGGTTCCCACCTCCAAGCACCTGCTTGGTCTCTGTAACTGAATTACTAAGGAACCAGCAGGAAGGTTCCTGGAAATCTGCCCCTAAGGCAGCTCCACCTCACTCCTCCCCAAGTCCTACAGAGGTCAGGCCTGTTCTAACCCTTTTTTCTTATTCCCCACCCCCTCCAGACCCTGAAATGTCTAAACTCCTAAGACTCCCAGCCTGCCAGGGCAGACAGACCTAGGGCAAAATGCCACCACAGCACACTATGAGGAGTGCAGAGACCAGAGCGTGACCCACTCTGCTCTAGGAAACTGTCAGCTGAGTCAGATCTGATGGGAGAAAGAGCGGAGAAAATGCCTCGCCCCCACGCCTTTGTTTGTTTCTGGAGACAGAGTGTCAAGTAGCCCAGGCTTGTCTTCAGTTTACCGGGTAGCCAAGATAATCTAGAACTCCTAATTCTCCTGCCTCCACCCCTCAAGTACCAGGATTACAGGTCCGTGTCACCACGCCTGACAGTGAACAAGTGTTTCAAGCAGAGGAAATAGGAAGAACGATGAACCTGGATGCAGAGAGCGGTGCACGCTGAGAGGACAGAGCACGGCTGGTTGCGGGTGGAGAGGCAGTGAAGGGTAAGTTAGCAGACAGCAAGATACTAACCCTGACCCCAAAGGCAGTGGGAAAAGGAAGGGCTAGAGGGGAGTTTAAACTGAGTATCGTAATGCAACCTGAGCCTCACCGTGGAATACAGGTGGAATACAGGACGGGGTAGAAGGAATGGACTGGAGGCAGGGAACCAGCAGAAGGCTGAGCATGCTAAAGCTCAGGCAGAAGCTAAAAGAGGTTTGGCAGAAGGTGCTGGGGAGAGCAAAGTGGATGCATTCCAAAGACACTCAGAAGGTGGAGGCCACAGAACTTGGAGCTGGATTACACGTACGATAAAAGGGAGGGAGGTGGGAGGAGGCCCAGGTTCCTGACGTGGTGACCAGGTGGGTGGTAATGCCAGTTAGAGAGAGAAAACTGGAGGCAGGCAGGAGGGCGGGGCCGAGGGGTGCAGGCTGGGGCGTGCTGGGTCAGAGGCAGGAAGAAGGCAGCTATTCTCTCAGGCCACACCTTCTCAACTCGGTGCCATGGCCTCCCCAGCCGTCTGGGGACTGCGGGAAGGGTGAACAGTCCTTCAATGTCCAAGGGCCACTGACGACCCCAGGCCGGTGCTCCCTTTCTCGCCAACCTAGCGTGTCACTCCTGCCTGTCCCTGTAGCTCCATGTCCTCGCCCTCAGCCCCAGCCAGGCTGAGGATCACCCCCATTCCCTTTTCAAGTTCTCCACCTAACTTGTCCTCTAGGCCCCCAACCCTGAACCACCTTGGCTACTCTCCAATGAGTGGGAACTCTCCCTCCCATTCTACCCTACCCAGGGCCCAGCCTCTGAGGACAAAGGGAGGGGTGCTCCAGGGCCACCCCTTCTATGACTGGCTCCTGAATTATTAATGAGCAATTAAGAGAGAGCGCTTTGGTGGACGAGGCTCTTGTCTAGAGACCTGGAGGAGATAGAGGGATCCGTATGGCCTGCTGCCCTGGGGCCTGACCCCTCAGGTTGGCCCTGGACTGCCTCTGGATTCAGGACAGGCTGGGAATAGCCCCTTCCCCCCAAGGGACCTCAGCTAAAACCTTGCCCCTCCCCCAACCTGCAGATTGGCTAAGCCTGTCCTGTGCTCCGCCTCCCACCAGTAACCAAGCAGTGGTAACCATGGTGACAGGGCGGGCTATGGCCAGTCTTATAGTGCCAGGCAGGGGGAAGGGCAGCAGAAGGGAAGAGACCAAAGTTCAGAGTTGGACTTGGGTAGGGGACAAATTGTCCCCCAACACACAAACACTTATTTTCCTTTCCCATTTCTGTCTCCTTCCTGCAAGCCCAGTAGCAATCTTCCCCATTTTCCAGGGACTGCGGGCCTGGCTCAGGGAAGGGTGCCCTTTGCCTTGAAGGTCCCTGGGAAAAGGGAAGGATCTAGATAACTCAGCTCTGAGCCCTCCCTGGACCTGGGGACACATCTGGTGTGCTATTCTTGCTTCCTTCTACAGAGATCTGCAATGTGGACAGAGCACATGTCTACACAATTCACACAATCCAAGACACGGCTCCCCAATTCCATAAAACACTTAGACATTCCCGGTTCTACAGAGTCTAGGGGATACCCAGGTGCTCCACGGGATGTTCAGAGGCAACAGAAGGAACAGGTACCCCTTAGAAGGGGGCTTTCCCAATGGGGGTCTCTAGGACAGAAGGACTAGAGGGGTAGCTATCTGGTCACCCTGTTTCTCTGTCCTAGGGCCCAGTCCTGTATTCCATTCTAGAGACCTGCTAGAGGGTATGCCGCTTTTCACCCCGGCCTATCTGTATGATGAGGAGTCAGACTTACTGTCGCCATGAGCACCTGCCATCAAACCAAGCATCACGAGTGCAGGCACAAGGGGCACCATCATCCTCCCTGGGGCTGGCTCTGAGGCCTTCCAGGGCTCTAACTCCACAGCCAGCCACAGCCCAAGACAATCCACCTGTAAGGGAGAGAAGGGCAGAGCCAATTAGCTGGTATCCACTTGAGTCCCTCCTACCCAGGCTGCCTCTTGGCCCCCACTCATCCTCACCAGCCATTCAGAGCTAACTGCAACAGTCTCAGCCTGGACTGTGCAATTGTCAGCCAAGTTCCTTCCCCAGTGCTGAGGGGCAACCCACCCTATAGAAAGAGTACAGAGGCTGTCAGGGCATTCTCTAACCCCCAGAAAAAGGAACATATAGCTAGTTAGAAACTAGCACAGGGCTGGTCCATTCCAGATACTGAGTTCCCAACTCACACCATTAAGGGGATGGGCACAGGGAAATGGAGTCAAAGATATACACAGATTGGGACCCAAAGACCGAGATGCGAACTGTAAGCAGCCGGGCAGATTTACACAGTCCCTGGGGCATCCTGATGCTCTTCCTTGGGAAGCAAGGGGCCAGAGCCCAACACACACAGCACAGCCCCCAGAATACAGACTCAGCAGCAGTTGGTTCCACGTTGTCAGAGGCTCGCAGCCAAAGCCACAACCCGTCAGGGCTCGCCAGGACTGCTCTCTACAAGTTATGGTTGCCCTGCCTGGCCACCCTCAACCTACCCAATTCCCATGGCACTTTCCTACCCTAAAGACAAACTATGAGGAGGCCTCAGTGACTGAGAATTGGAATGCTAGACTCTAAGATTCAATATCCACGCTTCCTCCCTCTTCCCTTGTTCCAGGTATCCAAAGCAGAAGGGGGATGGCTGTGTTTGGGGCTAGCTGAAGCTTTCAAGACCCTGCCTGCTCTCCTGGCTACAGGTCTTTTCCACTCTGCAGCTAGCTGTTGAAGCCACTCAGTGGCCACACTGTCTACTGCAGACAAATCAGTCCTGGGGGCGAGCCTCTAAAGGTCTCTTTCCCATGTTCCTTGCCTGGGGACTTCAGGTAACACTCAGCAGTGTTCACAGTGCCACACAGAAGGCCCTGGCACATGGCCAGGCCTTCACCCATGCTCTGAAAACGCAACAGGGTATAATGGGGGAGGGGCAGTGGACACACTCTGGGGCCCCATAGTGCTAAGAGAATTTTCACGTTGAGAGGACAGATGAACTGAAGGGATGGAGTCCATACATGGTTCTGCTCCTTCCTGGAACTTGAACCCTTATCCGAACTTAGGACAAAGATCATGAGGCGAACGAGCAGCAGGTGAGCAAAGGTGGAGAAAGCGGGTGGCACTGTGAAGTGAGGCAGGGGCTAAGACACCGGGAAGGAAAGAGGCTCCCCGTCCCGGGAACAGTGAGAACGAAGCAGCAAAAGCAATAAAGCTAAAAGGACATGGTGTGGTGTCCAGCACTACTTATTCCAGGCTGTGGGTTCTGCTGATCTCAGGGCTGAGGAGGTGCAGTTCACAACGGGCCCATGTCAGGATGGGGGTCCTATCTGGACTTGTTCGTCACAGCTATCAAGACAACAGGTGGTGAACTGCCTGACCAGGTTACCATGGAGACATGGTTCTCAGACAGGACTCTAGCTCTGGTACAGATACCCAGGGTACAGTTCAGAGGTGTGTCACCCCCACAGGTCAGGCAGAGTGGCCTAGGCAGGTCTCGTGGGTGAGACATCACAAAGTCAGAGAGTTTAACGTCCATGCTCCACCATTCCAGGCACCCCCCCCCCCCAATGCAGACACCATACGGACATAATCTTCGGTACAAGTACCATGGGGCACATCTCCCAGGTATGGACACAGAGGGATGAAACAGGATAGATGTTACAAGGTACAAAAATGCACAGCACAGTCACCGTGGGGCAGAACTCCCCAGTACAATTACAGAGCCTTAATCCCCGTAGCTGTGGTATAGCAATCACAGCACGGTAACTCCCAGGTGCAGACATGGAAACAGCGTCTGGTCCAGACATCACGTGGGTATACACAGAGGGTACAGACATCTGTGGGTAGAGCTGCCTGATAAGGGCATTACAGGGATGTAACTCCCCAGCACACTGCCATAGAGCTGTAACTCTGTCACTGATGGGGAGGTGGTATCACTAGTAAATAAAGGAGAACAAAGCTCCACTCAATAAAGCCACCAGAGTCTCATTCCCACAAGTGAAATTCTGGCCTCTGAACCTAATCCCCAGTGTAGTAAAAACCAGTGGACCTTACTTGGGGACCAAGACTCCCGTCTATGTAAGCAGAATGTTCAAAGACTTTGTTCAGATCCACAGAGTAGGAAGAAGTCAGAAGTACTGAAAATAGGGGTCTGGAGAGATGGCTGAGTTCAGGGCACTGGCTGCCAGAGGACCTACATTGGATTCCCAGTACCCATATGGCAGCTCCAATGCCTTCCTCTGGCCTCTGTGGGCACCAGACACACACAGTTTACAGACATACAAGCGGGCAAAACACTCATACACAGAAAAATGTTAAAACTGTTTCTTTTTTAAGTTGAAAATACAGGCATTCCCTCCCAAGAGAGCTGCTCCAGGGATCCCTAGACACAGGGACAAAGGCAACTAGAAACACCAGGAGACCCCAGGGACATACACAAACATGGGCACAATCTCAGGGAACCGCTCTGGCAACCACAGTCTTCCAAACCTGGCCTCTCCCTCTCAGCAGCTCCTGGTGTGAGCAAGTTGCTCCCACCCCTGGACTCTGGGCACGGCGCCTGCCCCTGCTGTCGGGCAGTCAGGCTGCTCCCAGCTCCAGGACCTCCTCCCTCATTAGAAGTCCCAAGCCTGGGCTTGAGTCTAGATGCTGCTTCTGCCCACACCCTGGTCTTCAGGGTCCCCTGCAGATCAAGTTTGCCTTGCTGGACGGCCATGGACCTTGTGCACCCATCCAATACGGCAGCTCTTAGAACAGATACGCACTCCACCAGCACGGATGGGTGAGTCTGGGCCTTCTTCAGTTCAGAGAAAACCAAAGCCCAAATAGTTGGGAACTCAAGCTCATCTCTGAATTGCACTGCAGGCCATCGGTTCTACCAAGCTGACACACTTGGGCAGGAAAACAATTACGTGGCATATGATATTATAGGATATAATTGAGTGTAATTTTTCTACATTCAGAATGGCTTTGATATATCTTTTTTCTTCGCTACCCACTGAAAAGCTGCCAACTGCCCTTTCTTAGGAAGAAATGTCCTTTATTCTCAAATTTTGTCCTTGGTGCTAAAATGTCCTTTCTTGTATGAAGTGATGGGGACAGCAGATAGAAGTTGTTTTTTTTTTTTTTTTTTTTTTATAATGTCCTTACTTGGCAAAATAAAGAACTGCTAACCCCCTGTCTGGCCCTAAGCACTTTTGGAAGCTGAACTGTGTGTGAAACCAAAGAGCCTGGGAATCGCTGCTCTGAGGAGAAAGGGATCAGCAGGCACAACATCAAGCCACAGGACTCATGTATGTGTGTCATGGAAAATGTGTGTCATTTCCATGAGGTCCACCCTAACCATCCCTGCCAGGGCCAAAGAGGGCCCCCAAGAGACCATGTGATGCCAGGGCCGAGGGGTTCCCGGATGGAAAACAGCTGGGATCATTCTCAAGACCCCCTCATGAATATGCAAACACAGATTGATTTGTTTCCCGTGGGCATGAGTTATTATTCACAGATATTAATTAGACTCCAAATACCACCTGTTCCTCTAGCCTTCCCCACTGCTCCTCTTCAGGCCAGGACCCTGGCTCCCAGGAGATTGGAGACCAAATATGGACAAGGGCAGAAGAAGGGGCATCCAGGGTTCCAGGGTGTGCTCAGCCAAGACTTAAGCAACAAGATGCATGCTGGGCAGGGAGAGCCAAGAGCTGTTCATCTTCTAACCTGTGGTGGCAGCTCGGTTAGCTGCCACTGGGCCCTTTTGTCATGTCCTGGACAGTTAACCGTGTGGTACTGCAGCAGCAGCGGCCGCGGAGGCGGAAATAGGCCTTGTCACACTTGGGAAGGGAAAACCAACGTGTTTCCAACTTTCACCAAACCAACCACCGGATTATGACAGGAATAAATCAGAGCCTCAGCCTCGACCCCAGCCCAGCAGAGCTGGCTGGCAGGGAGGAGCCAGGAGGCCAGAGTCTCGGTGAACAGCCAGGAACAACACTCCCTCCCACTCGAGTACTGGGGATCCTTTAGCTATGCTGAGGTCCCATTTATAGCTCTCAGTGTTTGACTCTCTGAGGAGTCAAAGGGGAAACCAGGGGTGTCAAAATTCCTGGGAGTGGCAGCCAAGGACCTAACAGGGGCCTAGTTTTAAGAAACAGAAACAAAACAAAAATCAAAAAGGGCCAACTTAGGTTCCTTCTACGGCCACAACTCTAAGTCTTTAGGTCTTTCCCCAGGGGGTATGAGGAGGGACCCCTCAGATTAATGTTCACCAACTTTGTTGCCTTGGGGCCTCTATACCCAGTATTGTCTCTACTGTGAAAGATGCCTTTCTCTTGCCCCAGACACTCACTCGGCTTCAGAACCGGGTTCAAGTGATCCACTGATGTAAATCTTTCCCCAAGACTCTCCCTAGGTTTCCAGGTTGTACAGTTTAGTGAAATCACAAGAGGTGACACAAACTAGTGGTTCTCAATCCCGGGTGACCCTGCCCTGCCACAGGACATGAGGTAATGTCTGGAGACATTAGGATTGGGGATGGAGGTAAGTGTTACTAGCTCTAATAGGAAGAAACCTGCGATACTGTGAGACATCCTACAACATCAGGCCAGCCCCACGAGAAAAGGATCACCCGTCCACAAAGTTTACAGTACCAAGACTGAGAAACCCTGGCGCAGGTGGCCAGCTAAACAGCCTACAGCCTGACCTAGCCCCAGTCCCAGAACCCAAGCCCCTTTGGAATTGTTCACACCTCCAACCAAAGGCTGTCCCTGACACTTCTTGGTCCTCAGAATCCCCACCCCCCTGCCAGATTAGTTCAGCCTCCAGAAACAGGGGGTCCTGTACACACCCCATCTCCACTCTCTAGACGTGTCATTTGCACGTGCTCTCGCCAAAGGGCTCCTGTTTTAGGGACTCTTCTGGCAAGACTAGGCTTTTAGGCAGATCAGACTCTCACCTGAGTACAGACAGGAGGACACATAGTATCCTTATACACATTCTCCCTGCCTGACCTTCCCAGCCTATGAGTTCTCCCCTATGTCCCTTTGCATAAGCCCATCTCACCCAGTGTGACTATTCACAGGATCCCAGACATCACCCAGTGTGACTACTCACAGCATCCCCAACTCACCCAGTGTGACTACTCACAGCATCCCCATCTCACCCAGTGTGACTACTCACAGCATCCCCATCATCTAGTGTGACTACTCACAGCATCCCCATTCCTCTCCATCTAGGCCAGACCCATTTCTCTTTTCTAAGTTTTTATTTATTTGATTGTATGTGTGGTTACATGAAGGTCAGAGGACAACTCTGGAGTCAATTCTCTGCTTCCACTTTTACCACTGGATTCTGGGAATTGAACTCAGGCTGTCAGGAAGCACATTTACCTGCTGAGCCACCTCCCTGGTTCCAGATCAATCTTTGTCATGGCCTCTTTGTTTAACCATCTATCTAGAACTGTTCGTTGATCAGGGTGATGGCTGTAAAGCATGGGTCCCACCTTCAAGAAGCTAACAGAGAAAGGCCCACCAAGCTCAGGGACAACCTGTCATCCAGGTCAGCAAACCCTTGAAGGCCTGCTCCTTATTCCAAACATCCAACTTGTCAGAAGTTTGAATTTCCCCCTCTTCCACCCCAACTACCTCTCACCCCTCCACGGGCTTCCTGCCTTTGATTCTTTCTAAACCATCCTGCACACAAGCCAATGGTGCCTTCAGCCCACAAAAGTACAAATCTAGGGGCTAGAAGACATGGCTCAGCAGTTAAGAATGCTTACTACTCTTGCTGGGGACCCAGGTTCAGTTCCCAAAAACACACATGGGGGCTCAGAACAATCTGTATGGGATCCAACCCCCTCTTCTGCCTCCACAAGCGCCAGGCACACACGTAGTGTAAATACATACATGCAGGCAAACACTCATATATATAACATAGAAAGAAATAATCCTATTTTTAAATGAAAACCTACTCATGCCCATTGCGTGTGCTGTCTGCTGTTCTAGCTCATGGGAGGCACTAGTCAGTGTCCCATGAATGAAGGGACAACTGGATGAATGAAGTGACTGTCAGCTTGAGCTTCTGAAGAACCCTTAGGAGGAAGTCCACAGCCTTCAGTCTCTCATCCCAGCCCACCACGTAGACACCTAACTCCCTCTCTGGCCTTGTTCTCTACAACCCCAGCCCACTGCCCCGAGGACCCCGCTCTTTCTACATACTCTCCAGGTGACAGGTGTCTTTTTTTCCCTATAGACACATGGCGAATGTAGAAGCAGACAGACCCTGGTGCCGTTCAGAAGTCAATCTCATGCCTACAGAAGCTGGCAAGTTGCCTCTCATTCACCCACCTCCGTCCTCAACGCTAGGCAGACATCTTCGCTCCCTCGTGTTCCACATTCAGTCCTTCACGATGGCCTGTCTACTCCATCTCCTTAAATAGCACTTCAATCCCTTCTCGTCCTCCTATCACTGCTTTCCTGGTCTAGGCCTCTATCATCGCTCAACCACATGTATGTTGAATATCCCCTCCACGACTTAGATAAAGTCTCACGTCAAAATCCAAACCATTTAGCCCGGTCCACAGCCCCTCCACCCCCACCCCTGCAAACATGCCCCTGGCCACACGTTGGAGTACACTCACCGGGTCTTTGCTCGCTTATATCAGTCACTCTTGCTGGGCAATCAGCACCCAGGGCAGGGCACCAGGGCCTCCGCTCCTTCCTGGACAGAGAGGAAAAGATAAGAAAAACATCAAGAATTTTATCAAAGCAAAATAGAAATTGACAGAGACAGACTTTCAAAACTCACTGTTTATGCAGGGAAACGAAAAACAGGTTAGGGATCTGCCAGTGTAGGGCGATCGCCGTTTAGTAAAGTAGCCATCTGCTTTCTGCACTGTGTTTGCGTGATGCTCCCTAAGCACCTACTACGTGCCTGCTCATCTGTCTACTTCCCTATGCCCATGAGCAACACAGGCCAGGTTCCCATGGCCACAGAACCTGGTTCTGGATTCCACAGCCATCCTGGACTAGAGCAGTCACCCACCCTAACTCTGGAACCCCACCTGTCAGGTTCTCCCTCACTAGCCAGCCACAGGGCACTCTCTTCCGATCTTCAAGTGTGCCCTCCTTTCTCCTGTGTCCCGGCCTTGCCCATGATGTGTGTTACTGCCTAAAATGGCCTACCTATTTGCTTCTGACTGGTAACCACTCAGATTTCAGATCCAACAGCGTTTCTCAAGTAAGTTTACCGTGACACTGCCAACTACATGCCTGGACTTTGCCTCAAATCAATGATCACAAACGTATTTATTTACTTACATGACTCCAAGTCACTAAAATAAGCTAAGTAAACACACGGGCACACCTGCCTGGCTCGCCTAGCAGGAACCCAGCACACAGTAGGTGCTTAGTCCACACATGGTGAGAACACGAGTTCCCAGGAAGCAGCCCAGCCAGGGCACGCCCAGCGCACACACCAGCCTTCAAAGAAACTTCAGGAGCAGTATTTATTTTTGACTTTCTGCTTCTCTATAATTTTTCTTAAATGAAGGTGTGCCCCTGGATGCCTCCTCCGCGGGCACACACAGCGCCAGGGCCCTGCCCCTTCCTTCTAAAACCATTACAGAGCTCTCACCAGCATGTGCATGGTCCTAGGTGAGGGGGCAGGGTTCAGTCACGCCCACATCACCTCATCACTAGCTCAGCTACTCTGCTAGTGCCCACCTGAAGCATGCTGCAGCCCACTTGGCGCTCCTTCTGGGCCTCACCCCACACTCGCGGCAGCATTCATCCCACCGTCCTGCCACCGTGGCTCATCCCTGGGCAAGAAACTGTAGGGGAGCTGGGAACATCCTTACTGACCCAGGCCCAACGCTCACTAACATCCACAAAGTAACCTTCACACCTGGGAATCATCCTCACTTTAACTGGTTTACGGTTTACTCAATGTGATTGTATGTATGTATGTGCACCAACTATCTGTAAGAATGGTGCTCAAATTCAGAAGAGGGCATCAGACTCCCGGAACTGGAGCTACAGATGGTTGTGAGCCACCATGTGGGTGCTAGGAACCAAACCCAGGACATCTACAAGAGCAGCCAACAAACGCTCTTAACTGCCCTTCTCCTTTCTAACCCTTTGTCCTTACTTCAGACTAGTCACCTTTGGAAAAAGCCACTGACTCACCCAAGGCCTCATCAGACCCACCCATCCCCCGCCAGATCAGAACCGAAGGCCCCGGGCCTCAGGATGCCAGCCAGTATGGGCTCCTGCCCACTGCATTTCTCCACAGCATTCCCAGTGGCCGCTGCTTCTGCAGCAGGCTGCCAAGCGGGTCTGGCCAGAGAAACCGGCTTCCGTGTTGCAAACTCAAAGGCCCGTTTGTCTCGAGTTGCACACCCAGTCTCACAATGCTTGCCATGGGCTGTTAGCTCCACCACCGTTGCTCAGGAACCCAGGCAGAGGGGTAGTGTTCAAAGCAATGGTATCACACCCAAGACCATGCCAGCAGCACTGGGCCTCCTGCAGATGACTGGGACACCCTACCTAAAGTAGAATCCAGATCTGAAGAAAGGCCCAGAATGGCCATGAAGCAGGTCTCAGAAACACAGGATCCCAAGGCTGCTAAGACCCCCCCCCCCCAAGGAACACAGAGCAGTCCAAGGTAGTATTTCTAGAACAGTACTCTGGATCAAAGAGTCCAACACGGACTATCAAGTCACTTTCAGACCCACCAGCAGCAACCCCCAGAACCACTCCAGACCCACAGGGGACAAAACCTACAACAGTCAGGCTGGCCAGCTACCCGGAAAATAAACTGGCATTGATGTCTGGAAGGTAGACTTGGCAGCTGCTCAGTCAGGGCCTAACTGGATAGGATTTCAGGGAGAATTCACACCGGGTACAACCCCCACAGAGGGCTCAGACCAGGCTTAGGTAACAGCCATGACCAAGATCACGTAGAAGGCCTTTGCACCAACCTGGCTGGCTGGCCCCAGTAGGGCTCTGCGTCACCTGCCAGGCTAAAGCCCGGCCCACCAGTGGGACCAGGAAGAGCAAGCAGAAACCCAGGGCACAGGCATAGATTGAAGCAACCTCCAGGCAGCCCTGGGGCTGCACCACAAAAAGTCTCCAGAAGCGGCAGATTATACACAGCCAAGGAAAGAATGTCGGAGTTCTTAGACCCAGAGGCCCAGGGCACCGAGACTTGGTACATCTGGACCTTGGAGGCAAAAGCAGAAAAGAATCCTGGGAGGAAGTGGGGTACTAAACCGCAGAGGCTGCCCCTTCTCAGAATCCCCTTCTGTTCACCTCAAGAGCTCTCTTCTCCAGGGCCCTACCTCAGCCTTCTCACACCTGCCAGTACCCTGAAGGTCAAATACATGGGGGCAACACATAGCTCCATCAGTGAAGATGAGGCTGGGGGACAAGGTAGCTGCCCCCGCCTGGTTGAGCATGCCATCCATAAGGTCCCCAGTTCAGAGCAGCAGCTACGGCAGGCAGGTGCCTCTGCCTGGACACTGTGTGTTCCCAAAGACAGCTCTGTGACTCGGGGATTCTGACAGAGGAGCGCATTTTTATCACTTTTATTGATAATGTGAAAACAACGGCTACTGCTGAGGGGCTGAGGGACGATACAAGATGTGAGGCCCTGTCCCGAACGTTTCATGTTTGTCTTTGATCCCCCCAACGACCCTATGAGGCGTGAGTTTTATCACACCCGTTTGAGAAATGGGGTCCAGAGATGGTTAGCAAATTGTTCAAGGTCAACTCAAACTCCAGTTCATACTCCAAGTCAGCTCTTGGCTGCTGCGGACAGCTGTCTTCCCTGAGAGAGCATCGCTCCTAGCTCCCATGTAATTCCTGGTATCCTCTGGTTTAAGACTCTTCATACTAAAGCCGGGCGATGGTGGCGCACACCTTTAATCCCAGCTCTCAGGAGGCGGGGGGGGGGGGGGGGGGGGGGGGGGGGGGGGGGGGGGGGGGGGGGGGGGGGGGGGGGGGGGGGGTTCTCTGTGAGTTCAAGGCCAGCCTGGTCTACAAGAGCTTGTAGCTAGGACAGGCTCTATAATTACAGCGAAACCCTGTTTTGAAAAACAAAAAACAAAACAAACAAAAAAGGGCTCTTCATACTCAACCCCTTCACCAAAACCCAAGTGCCTCACAGACAACACATGGGGCCTCAGCTCAACATTTACCTGGCCTGGCCTTTCCTCCCCAGGTCCCTGGTTCAGGACTTCAGTGAAGTCCTTCCTCTTCCTCACTCCACATCCCACGAACCACCCTGTCCTGTCCAAGGTGCTTTCTCGGTGGCCATGTGCCCCTCCTCTCCAGGCCACCTTTCTCTCACCTGACTTTCTGCACGCAGCACCGTCGTTAGGAATCCTGTCTCCACCCAGAATTTTCCATAGCCCTGAACCATCTTCCAGTGAAGAAACCTGTAGGATGACCCACAGCCTCCACCCAAACGTTAAGCCACAGGTGTCTCTCCCAGGTACCTCACAGAACATCCGTGGCTCTGGGAGCTGCTGTGGCTGTCATTGAACACGCCACAAGTGATAACATATCTCAACCTTCACTCAGATTGTTTAAATTTTTTAATTAACTAATTAATTTTGCAGTGCTGGGAACCGAGTCCAGGCCTCAAGCGTGCCAGGCAAGGGCCCTCCCGCTGCGTTATTTCCAGAACTGCTCACACTGTTTCAGTCTTCTCCTTCCTCTGCGGCATCCTTTCTTTTTCAACCGGCAAACTCCTACTGACCTATCTAAGCCCACTTCAGAGAGCCCTTTCGGAGTCTCACCCTGAACCCGCAGCCCCTGGACTCCTCCAATCTTCTAACCTCAGCTTGGAACGGCAGTTGCTCTATGTGGCTAAGGCTCCCACCTCAGCAGCAGCAAAGAGATGAGCTTCCTCTTCTGGACAGCTGTTCGTCCCACAGGAAGCCAGACTGCCAAGCCAAAAGTGCCTAGCCCTGTGCCTGGCACACTGTCAGCAGTCGATAGCAGATTACTGAATCCCTTTTGCATTCCCACGAAGCCACTGCCACTGCGGCCTTGCAGAGCCAGCTACATGGTTCTCTCGGCCTTTCACGGCAGCCCCGGGGCCCACCTATCCTTGACTACCAGCCCCTTTCTCCAGGGAACTAAAGCTGAGACACCCAAAAGGCCTCCTTGCTGTAGCAGTTAAGGTCTGGGGACTACCTCCCGAACGGAGGACCTCAGACTGACTCCCAATACAGGTGGCCGGGAGAGGGTGCAGAGAATGCAGGAAACAACAAGGACGCTATCTTGCTGCAGGTCCATACAGTTCACAGGGAAGGGTTTTCAGCCAGTCTACCTTTGCTACAGCCCACCCTACCTCCCGGGAAACTGTTTCTCCAGCACCCAGAACTATGGAAAAGAACTCCTTCCATAGCCCTAAACACTTGAGACTGGATGGGGGGGGGGGGGGGGGGGTGTCAGCAGCTGCAGGAGGAAGGGAAGGAAGAATCCTATTAAGACTGTCCTCATTGAAGGAAGGGAAGAACACTGTAACTCAAGGAAAACAAAACCACGAAGAAAGTGAACTGGAACGGAAGGGAAGTATGTGCACAAGAAGGCCCGCGGCGGAGTGTGCAGGTGCACA